AGGCCTAGAAGGGCTAGTTCCGGGGAAATCAGATGGTACAGGGGAGAGTTTATGTCCAAGGCCATGTAATCAATACTCTCTGCACTTGGTCAAAGGCCTGTGCTGTATGTGGGGAGATGGTGGCCAGCATCAGCATCTCGTGCTTTGGACATAAGTGAAGGGAGAGCACCCTGCATGTCCCTTTCCCACCACAGGGTGGCGGTGCAGCCCAGCCAACGTCTCACATAGGTGCTGCTTCCTTGCACCGTCTGATGGCAGTTTCCCCAACTACTTAGAAATTGAATTTATGTATTTATGTATGTATGTATGTATTTATTTGTAGTTTAAAGAATAAAAAAACAGAATCTATGTGGTAAACTTCTATTTGCCTTTTTTCCGTTTTTTTTTTTTGCAGCACTGGGGATTGAACTCAGTCAGGACCTTGTGCTTTCGAGGCAGGCGCAGCACCACTGAGCTACATCACTGGCCCTTATATTTGATATTTTAAAGTAACTCCTGGAAGTTCTGCCTTAGAAAAGGCCCCAGTGGGCCGGGGATGTAGCTCAGTGGCACCACACCTGCACGGCAAGTGTAAAGCCCTTAGTTTGATCCCTGTTACAGAAAAGAAAGAAAAAAGCAAGCAAGCAAGCAAGCGAGTGCCGCAGTGCTACCAGCCTGGTCTCCACGTGTCCACAACTGCAACCTGATTCCTGTTGGCTTTTGCTCTCTTCAGTCCCCAGCTGCCCTCCGCCCTATTCCCTCATCTTCTGCATGACTGACCTCCATCTGTCAGAGATCATCTCCCTTCATCCTCTCCTTTCATGCCTGCGTTGCTGCTGGTGCCTGTGGCTTCCTGCAGTTGATCCTCCAGCACCAGAGGCTCTGTCTCTTTGGCACCTTTCGCCTCTGCCTCATTTTAGTCAGCTGTACGGATGAGAAAGTCTCCTCTGCTACTCAGACCACAAACACCTCCACCTGCTCTCCACCCTCTCTTGCCTTCTCACTGGGCTTTGCTTGCTGTGAGAGTCTGGCCCTGTCCCCCAATCCCTCCACTTTGTCCTGTTTCTTTCAATGCCTTGCTGGTGTCATCTCCCTTCTGTTGTGATTTTGAATGTTCTGGAGCCCCACTTTTCATCATTTTTCTTTTTTTTCCCCATCATTGTTCTTGTTCGGGTCACCACCGACCCTATGGTAAATGTGAGAGGCAATTTTCAGTCCTTGTTTCACCAGACACATCTGCAGCATTTGATGGCTGATTTACTGATTCCTCCTTGAAATGTTTCCTTGATTTACATCCAGGATCCCACATTCTCTTGCTGCCACCTTCCGGGTCTCCATTGCCTCTGACTGCCAGAGTGGAGGATCTTCCCTCCTCTCCCTCCTTTGGTGACCTCATGTGTTCCTCCGGCTTTAAACAGCATCCACCTGCTGATGACTTACTACGCTGCGTCTCTAGCCCAGGACTCTTCTCTAAACTCTGGACTTCGGTAACCAACTGTGTACTCCATGTTTTCCCTTGGATGTTGTCCAACAGCATCTCAAATTTAACACGTCTGACTCTGAACTCCTGACACTCCTGTCCCAAGTCCGTTCTGCCCAGTTTCCCATACAGCCTGGCCACACCTCCACCTTCCAGTTGTTCCAAAACCTGTAAGGTGGCAGCTGGCTCCTCCTGTAGTCCCACTGATCACACAGCATCCCACTGTCTCTCTCGTTCCCAGCTGGCCAGGTCATGGCATCTCTCACCGAGACAAGTGGCTTCTGTCCAGCTCCGCACTTGCTCTTTCAGTCTGTTCTCACTGCCACGAGTACAAGCTGCAGTTCCTACAGCAGGCTGTCAGGCACTAGGTGATTGTTTCCTCTTACCAGATTGGGTACAAATTACAAAGTTTGATAATACTTAATGAAGTGGAAGGTGTGGGGAGATATACGTATATGTTGGCTGGAGTGGTTTATTAATTTTTATTTTTATTTATTTATTTATTTTTTTGGTACTGGGGATCGAACTCAGGTCCTTGCGCTTTCAAGGCAGGCGACGGAACCACTGAGCTAAATCCCCGAACGTAATTTTTATAAAAATGTAAATTAAGCATACTCTATATCCAGAAATTCCATTTCTAGGAATTTATCTTATGCAAATACACAAATAGCCAAAGATACATATGTGATGGTCACTGACGTGTTGTCATAGAAAAACAAATAAATATGTCACACACCCATACAATGGAATGGCATGCACAATTACGGAGAGTCATGACCTGTGGAAACATCTCCAAGATATATTATAATTATTATTATTATGTTTGTTTTTTGAGACAAGGTCTCACTAGATTATTCAGGCTGGTAGTCCTTTCTCAGCCTCCTGTCCAAGATTCATTATTAAGCGCTAAGGAGAAAGAGTAGAATATTAACTATAGAATAGTCTTGTTTAATCAAAGTCTATGTGAATTTTTATGTTTTTATTTTTTTGGTACTGGGGATTGAATCCAGGACCTTGTGCTTGCAAGGCAGGCCAGGTGCCACTGAGCTAAATCCCTGGCTCTTGTTTTGTTTTTTTGAGACAAGGTTTCACTATGTAGTTCAGGTTGGCCTTGAACTCACTAGCCCAGGATGGTCTCAAACTTGCTGTGATCCTCCTGCCTCAGCCTCCCAAGTGCTGGGATTACAAGCAAGTGACACCAAACCCAGCTGTATGTTATTTTATTTTATTTTATTTTATTTTTTTGAGTAGGAAATTTTGGCAAGGGATTTAGCTCAGTGGTTTCAGCACCTGCTGCACAAGCACAAGGTCCCAAGTTCAATTCCTGGTACCAAAAAAAAAAGTAGGAAATTTTATTGGGGAATAGAAATGGCAAATAGGAATAGCTCTTCAGACACAGGCAGGGATCCAAATGGGTTGCCCTGTATATAATTTTTAAAAGTTCTTCCTCATTCCAAGATCATGCTCAAGAAATGTTCACTCAAGCTGTGTATGGTGGCACACACCTGTAACCTCAGTACTTGGAAGGAGGCACCAGGTGTGGCAAGTGCTACCCGCCTTGCCTGGTGCCTGACAAGTGACCTTTCTCCGATCAGCCCACACTGTCCCAGGGAACAAGCCAAGAAATAGTTGGCAGGAGGATGCAGACTTCTCTGAACTCACATGCAAAGAGGCAGAAAGTTGCATTTTGGTGACATTACTCTTATGCTTATAAAAGCAGAGACAGTGGGAGAGGAGCCTGGGAATAGGAGGAGGAAAAAAAAGAAAAAAAGGATCCTCACTTAAAAAAAAAAAAGACATCAGACTTGATCCTTCTCGAAGTTAATTTCAGTGATTCCTTTAGTTAAAAGAGAGGACAGAGCTGGTAGGAAGAGCAGAATGCTGAGGAGAAAGTCTGGCTGATGGCTAGTTGGCCTAACCTGACTTGCTATAAAGAGAAAAATGAGTCTGGAGAGGAGCTGCAGCTTTCTGAATGAAACCAGACTGGCAAAGACTTTTGATTTCGTCTGGTGCTCTACAGCCCTGCCTACTAGGACTGATTCACAGTAGTGCAGGCAGAAGTGTAGGCAGAAGAGAGCAAAGCTACAAGCCCGGTAAGGCCCCACTCCCACCAGGCTCTGGCACGGCACAGGCCCCACCTTTGCAGTCTTCATTTGGGGACAGTGACAGGGCCTGCCTGGCCAGGCTATGGTGGGGGTAGGAACTGCAGGCCGGTGTGGCAGGGGCTTTTTTGGTACCGAGGATCGATCTCATGACCTTGTGCTTGCAAGGCAGGTGCGGTGCCACTGAGCTAAATCCCTGCCCCTGGTGTTTGTTTTAATGAGGAAGCCTGGAGAGACACTGCTAAAGGAGCTGGTGTTAAGGGAGGCACTGTCCCCCTCCCTACCCTCCACCTTCTTTGGTTTGTCAGAGTTCGAGACTAGCGTCCAGTAGTACAACTGAGATTTTGCTGTTTTTCCCTTCGGTGCTAGGGATTGAATCCAGGGGAGTGAGGATGTGAGCTAAGTGCTCTACCACTGAGCTCATCCCCAGCCCTACTACTGAGTTTGGAAAGTGCCTGGCAATGGTCCCTGCACAGGCAGCTCTGACCCCAGCTGTTTTTTGTTGTTGTTTTTTTGTTTTGTACTGGGGATCGAACTCAGGGCCTTGTGCTTGTGAGGCAGGTATCAGCACCACTGAGTTACATCCCTGGCCATCAGCTCTGAAACCTGTAGTGCCAACATAACAGGGCACGTCTCCTACAAGATTCCCACCTCCCACACACAAACTGTCCAGAGTCCCAGCTACAAGTTCACTGTTCCAAGTGTGTGTGCTGCCAGGCAGCCTTCAAAGCTATTGTGGGGAGGTGGCCAGTGTCGGCTCCATTAGGTTGCTTGGGACCAAAGTCAGTGTTTTCCTCATTGGCTGGCCAATGTCAATGACCTGGTTGCCCTGGCTCACTTGTGGGTCCTTGCCTAGCTTCATGCCCAATGGGAAGTCCACAGGGAATCTGAAATAGCTCTTGGAAGCCCGGACCCTTCCCCAGGGCCTCATTTCTGCTGCCCCCTTCCTAAACTGACAGTTTTTAGAGCTGTGCTCTTGTTGGAATCTAAGGTACAAACTGGGCTTTCCTCTGATCCTCTTCCCTCAATCTGAGAGATTAGAAGGTGGCAGCAAGTTGTGTGACCACAAGTGACCACAGTTATCTCTACCTGGCCTCTAGGCCCAGAAGCTCTGAACTGGCTTGTGTACCCCTTCCCATACCTAGGAGCCTGAATGATGCCCTCAGTCATTCGCTCCTCCTCCCACCCCAAGGGACTGCCCAGCCTTCTGCCCACCCAGGGTAGCCCGGGGGAAATCTTCCTACCCCCAGGGACAGTACAGTTTCAGGCCTAAGCAGGCCTCATTTCCCTAGCCTTCAGTTATGCCTGAGGGTGGCTCTAGCCAGCTCCCCTGGTGTGTGTGTGGGGGGCTGCCTCACAAGGGCAGGGGCCCCTCAACCTGGCATCCACGAAGTACCCACTCACCTGTCTACCCATGTCCTTACACACAACAAGCCAAGGCAGAGTAGGGAGGGGCCCCCATGTTTTATTAGGGTTACGGCAGAAGCAGAGCAGCCAGATAAATTAACCGCAGTTCAGGTTGGGGGGTAGGGACTGGGCCAGGCGCTTTTATATAAAAAAACAAAACAAAAATACTAAAAACCAAAAAAAGACAGACAACACACCCCAAAGACATGGGGCAGGGGAGGGCAGCACCATTCAGACAGCAGGGAGGACCAGGGCAGAGAGAGAAGGCAACTTGCCCCCTCACCCTCAAAGTCTGCCAACATGGGGCCTCCAGAATGGCCCCATGGGGGCTCTGGGACAGGGGAGCAGCCAAGTTGGGCAGAGATGGCACAGCTGGTGGGCAGGAAGCCCAGCACCACAAGATGGCTCAGCCTGATGTGGGAGCTGGGGGGGCTGGGACACATGGCCCTGACCCCCAAGTCCCTTAGAGGAAGAGCCTTACTCCGGGTGAGCGAAGGACCAAGGATGGGATCCCTCCCTGAGCTGAGTGCAGTCATCCCATCCACAGCAGCGGCGGGCAGTGGGGTGTGCCAGGGACTCCCGTCATCTTTGTATCCAGCTGCTTCCCTGGTCCCTCCAACGAAGGCCCCGCTGGCACGGAGGGGCGGGACACGAAGAGAACAGGCCAGTCTGTGCCCCCAGCCTCCGAGGGGGTCGTGGTGCGTGCTGCCCCTCAGCCCTGACTCCCACAGGAGGAGAGCGAGTCATAGAGTGAGTCGCTGAGGGACTCGGAGGCCTCCAGCCCTGGAGCACCCCCACTGGCCGTTCTGCCCTCCTCGCCCACGTCCGACGTGCTGGGGGTGCGACTGCCCCCAAATCCTGGGCCTTGGGGTGCAGCGGGTGGGCGGCTGGGCTCCAGGCTCCGCTTCTGGTCCACAGGCAGGGCCTGGAAAGAAGGGACTGCTGGGAGGCCACTGCTCCCACCTCTCGGCCCAGGCTGAGGGTGCCGCTGGGGTCCACGGAGGTGGGGCAAACTCCAGAGGGAGGGTGCTGCATGTGTGACTACATCCAGGGCTACCATGGTGCCAGGGGGTGACAGAAGTCCTCTCCTCAAGAGGGGCCGGCGGGCTGCCCAGAGGGGGATCCCAGGGCTGGGCCTCCAGGGCTAAGCACGACACAGGCTACACCTCACCCAAGAAACCCATGTCCAGCCCTCCTGCTCCCTGGTTCTTTTCCCTTTTTCCCCTTTCTTCAAGGCTCACCATGGGGGTCCTGGGCAGCTCCTCCAGTTGTTGGGGTGGGCACAGGAAAGGGTCAGAGGAGCTGCTGGCCGCCCTGGTGTTGGGGAACGTCCAGTTCTTGGCCAGCTGGACGGGAGGGGAAGGGCCTGGATCTTCACAGGGATCTGCCCAGGAACAAAGGGCAGTGGGTGGAGCGGCCCAGCCTGGAGCCCACTCCTGGGGACCCCTCCCCAAGGACAGGACACTCACCATCAGGACAGGGTGGATGGCCTCGGTGGCTGGGAGTAGAGGTGAGCAGTGCGGGGAAGGCTGGCATGCTGGGATGCCGCCCGCTCACCAGCAGCTCCTCTATGCCTGGTACCTCCCTCTCCAGGGTATGGGCGCGACGGGGAACTTTGGTAAGGGCTGGGGGCCGGGCTGGGGGCAACCCTGGTGGAGGCTCCAGCCGTGGTGGCTTGGCCTTGGGAAGATTCTTGCTGGGGGTTCCACTGCTGCCGTGGTCTGGGGGTGGGAAGGTTCCAATGCCACTGTCCAGGGTTCGAGTCAAGGAGCCACAGGCTAGGGAGAGGACACATGGTGGGTATGAGGTGAAGGCACAGCACAGTCCAGGGCCCCCAAGCCTAAGAGTCTCTCTTGGTCCCACAACCACATCCCACACAACCTGCCCAGCTACTCCCCTCATCCTGGCCTGGGAGCCAGGTATCCTTGAGGGGAGGGAGGGGGTTCTTCTTGTGCAGCATCAGTGCCCAGAGCTGGACACCAAGATGGCACTCAGAGCCTGGCACCTGCCGTGGTGACAGGCAAGAGTAACGAGGGAGGGATGAGGGGCAGTTCCCGTCTTCAGGCCGACCCTGCAGACCTGTGAAGTGTGAGGTGGGCACTGGCTCGGCCAGGCTGTCCTCCAAGGGCATCTCTTCCTGCCTCCCCGGTTCGCTGCTGGGCTGTGTGGGTACAGAAGACCTGGATGTCCATTTCCATCCCTCCAAAGCCCCCACCACTGTGCCCTGGGGAGTTGAGTATGGGATCATGAACAGAAGCACTGGGCCCTCAGGAAGCTGCTCTCCCCTCCCCGGTCCCACACAGCATCCTGTGGCTTCTGGATCCTGGGGAAGGGGAGCCCTCCAGAGAGCCAAACCCTTCTACTGGGCTCCTGTCCCAAGAACTTACCTTTCCAGGTGATTTTCTGCAGCCCTGAGGTGGGCCCACCAGGCCATTTCGGGGGCCACAGGCTGGCCAGGGGCTCTTGGGGTCCGAGGACACTGGCTGGAAATCCCCATACTCAGGCTTGGCCTCCCGCCAGCTCTTTGGTGGCAGCTCCTTACCATCCACCCTGGGGACGATAGTGCAGATGGAGGTGAGGGAGGTCGGTGCTCAGGAAATATGTCAGCTGCTAGGGTCCGAGTATTGCTCAAGGCTTCGGGTGGTTCAATTCCATCATCACTGTGCAGTAAACCTGACTATGGTGCTTAGAATGAACCCCTGGGGGTGACTAAGATTGGATATGGTCATTAGGGTAGAGCCCCCAAGACTGAATTCTTTATCAAGAAGAGGTAGTGCACACCTATAACCCCAGCACTCGGGAGGCTAAAGCAGGAGGATTGCTCGCTACATAGCAAGCTCCTGCCTCACAAAACAAAACAAAAGGGAGAAATACCAGCAGCGCCACCTGTACACGCAGACTCCTTGTTTCTTAGTATATAACACCCTGTGCCACCTCAGGACTGACTGCAGCAGGAAGGGAGGCCATCACCAGATGTGGCCCCTAGAGGTTGCACTTCTAGAGCCATGTGCCAAGATAAACCTCATTCCTTTACAAAGTAGCCTGGGGCTGGGGATTTAGCTCAGTGGTTCAGGCACCTGCTTCGAAAGTGCAAGGTCTGGAGTTCAATCCCAGTACCAAAAAAAATTAATAAAATAAAGTAGCCTACCTTGGGTATTTTAGTACAGAAATGAGAAACGGGCGAATGCACCAGCCTTGCACCCTTCAATGGTGCACTCACTGCCAGGCACCTGGGGGAGTGGGACATGGCGGTGACAGCCACTCCCACCACCACTTCCTGACACTGGCAACGGCAGGGGAGAAGGTGAGAGACCTCCTCCAAAGACCCAGGGTCAGCGGGCTCTGGTTCACCAGCAGACCAGGTCACAGCCTCGCCTGTTCCCAACACACCCTGCCTCCCCTCTGATCGCACTTGCTGTCCAAACCTCGTGCCCAACCCAGGGCCCAATTCCTTTGGATTTTCTGCCTCATGGGGCTGGAAAGAGCAACCCCAAGATAAGTGGGTTCTTCCTCCAAAACATGGCTCCCCTTACGGCAGGTGCTGAAAGATGGGAAAAGGGTACTCCTTGTCCCTTCCCGGAGAAGACCCTCACCAGCCCATAGTTAAGATCTAGCATTCACTTAACTACCATATTGAGTTACCTTAGGCCACCTCAGCTGACACAAGACAATCCCGTGAAACAGGGACTATTAACTCTTCTCAAAAGGCAGCTGGGCTGGGCAAGGCTAATGACAGCCAGCCAGTGACAGAGGGAGTAAAGCTGATTCAAGCTCTGATCTTTCCTACAGGCAAAGTCGATAACCTGTAGATGTTTTGGAGACCTTCTATCCGCTCTGACCTCTGGGAAGCCCAAGCTTCCAGAAAGGAAGTCCCAGTGCAGAAGCAGCTCTGTGCCCAGTCTACTGGGCACCTGCTGACTGGTTCTGAGCCCTCACCTGTTGAGCAGCTGTTGCATGAAGGTGTCCGCACCTTGGTACATGCCAACCAGCTGGCCCTGCACCTGTCCCAGACCCTGGCTGGGCCCTGTAGCTGAGCCCCCAGGCCGTGGGCGGGTTCCTCTGCTCAGGTAGGCCTTCTCCTCTTCCAGCGCCCGGCGTAGGTCTTCTGCCTTAGCCATCAGCTTGGAGATGTTGAGGCTCTCAGGCTCCAGCTTTCGGGCTTCCACCTTGCCCTCCTTCCGGAGGGGTGAGCCCCCACTGGGCCCATCCTTGCTTTTCGTGGCCTCTGTGCGGCGGTTCAGGGCTGGCAGCTTACTCTTCTTAAGGCCAAACCAGCTAGCAATGCTGCTGGTGCTGCGGTGCTTGGCTTCGGAGCCCGGCGCCCGTTCCTGCCCCTGGAGCCGCAGCACATTCTCCTCAATGCCCTTCATCACCTTCTCCTCGATGGCCGAGTGTGGGGCCAAGCCCTCAGGGACCTGGCTTGGGTTGGGAGGGCCTGGTATCGGGGATGTGGGCTGGCCTGTGACACTGCTACAGTCTGCCCAAGACGAGCCCTTCCCCTTGTCAGGCTTGGGGGGCTCCTTGGGGACTGGGGGAGGGCCAGGTCGGGGTACCACCTTGGTGGGTGACTTGGAAGGCAGCTTTGTAGGGCTGCTGTGAGGACTTTTGCTGGGTTTGCCAAGGCTAGGGGCTGAGGTGGGCACTTTTGCAGGGGTGCGGGGCACCTGGGGACACAGGGCTCCTGCCAGCCGACTCTTGGCCAGCTCCACTTTGGTGAGGCAGCTCCTAGGTGAGACAGGCTCTAGATCCACACGGGCACCCATGGAGTGGGAGGAGTAGACTCGGGCCCCAGGATCCCCAAGTCCAGGTTCCTGCTGCTTCAGGCTGCTTGTGCCTAAGGCCACTACCCCCTGAAGAGGCCCCTTAGCCTCTGGCTGCTCAAGGGGTTGAGTGGTGGGGGGAACCGTGTCTCCAGTGCTCTCTCCTGACCTCCCTGGCCCCCGGGCCTTCTCCGTGCCAGGCCTGGCTGGCACCCCACTTTTCTCTGGACCCAAGGGCCCCTCAGGGCCTGTTTTTAGCTTCCCCAGGGCTGCCAGTCTGTCCCGCAGGGCTGTGAAGCCAGGATCCCCAGGTCGCCGCCCTGATCCCTGGCCAGGCTTCCTGGATGAGCTGCCTGGGGTCCTGCGGCCAGGGTGGGGAGACTCTGAGCCTGCCTTATCAGAACCTTTCTCCTGGGGGGCCCCATAGGGGCAGGATTCTGAGAGGCAAGGGGTGGGGGGAACTCTAGGGCTTCTGAGGACCTCAGGGGCCTGTGGGACCTCCAGAGACAGCTGTGGGTAAGTGGGCACCTGCAGTGGGGAGGGGGGTGGCTCTGGGGAGGACCCTTTAAAGGTGCTCCGGGAGAGGTCCAGGATGTTCTCATAGCAGGGAGACACCACTGGCCCTGGGGACGGTGTTGTGGAAAAGGCTGACTGGGGAGGTCTGAGCTGTACAGAGTCCAGGACAGTGGAGCAGGGTGAAGGGCTGGTGGGCAGACCCTGTGCCCCCTCTGGGGACAGCTCTCCTCCACCCAGACCTCTGCGGGCCAGCAGTGGGGAGGGGCTGCCATCGGAGCCACTGTTGCGACAGGGGATTCTTGAGTTTCGGGGGAGTTGGGGGCTGAGCTGGGGGCCACCTGGACTGGGGACTTTTTCTGAGGCTGGAGGCAGCTTGAGGAACTTGAGACTTTTGGCAGGGGAGGGCAGCAGGGGTCCCTGGGCTTCCCCAGGAGAAGGGGGCCCCATTTGGAGCTTGCTTTTCACCTGAGATGAGGAGTGGGGGTGGCCAGGCTGCGAGCCCAACGGGGCATCCTCTGTACCCACAAACATGCTGAGGAAGGGGAGGGGCCCCTGGCCCTCTGAGGTAGCACCAAAGCCCAGTCTGTGGGCCTCTGGGGTACCCCCACCCCAAGCTGACTTTGGGAGGCCTTTACACTTGGACAGCTGCAGGGGCCCCTGGTCTGGGGAGGACGGCTGCCTGGGCCCTGGGTGGTCCCCATTGAGTGGGCCTGCAGCCCCGGCCAGGAAGGCCTGTAGATAAGTCTCTGTGTCCTCAAGGAGCTGGCCCAGGTTCAACTGCTTTCGGGCCAGGGCACCCAGCAGGGTGTCGGGGCTGGGTGCTTCATTGGGGTCACCTGCCTCATCAGAAGAGGAGGAGGAGCTGCTGCCTGGTGCACAATGTGGGTTGGGGTTGGTGCCCTGGGCCTGCAGTGGGGCCCTATAAGGGCGCCTAGCACTCCCTTCCTCCCCTGGACCCCCCAAAACGTGCTCCCAGTGCACCAGGCCTCCCAGACTACCAGGGCCAACTAGCAGGTAGGGGGCCCACGGTGAGGGTTCAGGCTTGGGAGGGCCACATAGCTCGCCATTGATGGGTTCAGGGGAGCCAGGACCCTGGCCTGGAGGCCGCCAGGGGGTGGCAGGTGAGCACAGGAGCAAGGGGTCCGTCTCTTCCAGGGCTCGAAGCACCTCCAGAATCTGGGCTTTCTTCCGAAGGAAGGGGGACAGGGCGTCCAGTGCTGGGGGTGGGGCAGCTGGGGGGCCTGGGCCTCCTGGCCGCAGCTGCTGCTCCCAACACACCTGGGTGGGGGAGAAGAGAGATGAGGAGGAGACCGTGTGCAGCTGGCATCCGACTCCAGGTGCAGGTCCTGGGTTGGGCACAACTGAGCACCAGCTAGGACCAGGGCTGACCTGGCTGTGTGCGTCTGTGTCTCCAAAAGGAATTCACAGCTCTTAGGCTATGAGGGCTCAGCTTCCTCAAGGGTTGCTGAGCCCTAGTGTGCCCAGCTCTTGTCTCTGGTACACTTGGGACAGGGTGGGCACCCTATGTCTCCTTCTTGGTTATCTCCACAGCTGTCTGGATTGGCACGGCTGACCAGCTACAACTCCGACCTCTCTGCTTGCCCCAGAGGGGAGGCCTGTTCACTTTTCAGGCCCTGGAAAGAACAGTGTGCCAAGAAGGTACATGACGTGGCCAAGACCCAAGTCAGGCACGGAAGACAAACCCGGGCCTTCCCTGCTGACCTGGTCCCCAGCGGGAGGAGGGGACTGGAGATGACTCTGCAGTCCCTTCCCTGCCACTACTGAGCCCCTTCTCGAGGATGGGACAGTGCTTAACCACATCCACTCTGGGTCAGACTGTGTATGTTCAGGTCCCAGTTCCACCGAGCTACCTGACTTTTGATAAGTGATTTGACCTCTAAGTCTCACGATGCCATCTGTAAAATGAGACAGTAATGAAACTGAACCTCATAAAATAAGATGAAAGAGCCCCAGAGTGCCCCGCACAATGCCTGGCATGAAGTAAGAGTTCGGCAAGTGTTAACTGTGGCTCTCACTGCATTACTAATGCATTTGCTCCAAGGCCAGCAGCCAGGGGTGGGGATCTGTTTTTCCCGGTATGAGGCTGACAGCTGAGGGCTGGACAGGAGTCTCTATGTGGGAAGCAGCAGTTCCCGTGAGGCTCAACAGGAACCAGCACTGGAGCACCAGCTGACTGGCCCCTGGCCAGCAAGGCCGCAGAGCACTGTGCCCAGCCCTCCTACCTCTCTCTGCCCAGCACAGTGCCCCAGAGGCAGTGAGGTGGACGGTCCCTCAGCGGTACCCAGGGAGGGGGAGGCCGGTGGCTCTGAGGGCGGCTGGAGTGGAGTGAGCGGGAGCTGCAGAGGAAAAGGAGAGTTAGTGGGGTTGCTGTCTGGCCCCTCGTGAAGCCAGGCCATCCCGCCCAGGTGTGCCCTCCAGGAATGTCTTCTGCCCCATGGTTTGGCTCTTGCAACTACTCCACATGCTGGTGAGAAAGAAGAGCCTCAGGAGACCACAGCACAAGCCCAGAGTGTTGAGGAGGGACCGGACTGAGGAAGGGAGGACCCTGGGGCCGTGGGCAGTGCAGCTGTAATGTGGGGCACCTCCTTGGCTCCAGCACCACTTTGTTTACTGAAAGGCCTCCTGTCCTACTACAAAGGGGACCACCATGAAGGTCCCTTTCTGTCCTGACCGCCTGTGATCCAAGGAAGCCTGAGACTGATGTCCAGAGGGTCTTAGGGAAGAGATGGCGGACAGCCATCATTTTGGCCTCCCCAAACCGGTCTCATGTGAAAGGTCTACTCTGAGGAGTGTAAAAGTAGGGTTTAATCACAGGCAATTTCTGGTTGTTGAGAAAGTGATTTCCTTCTCCCAGTATTATCACTTTACTCGTTCCCTTGCCCTCACTCACCACAACTATAAACCTGTCTCTGCAGTGTCTCTTGGCCTCACCTCTGGCCATCTGTAGCCAGCTCCTTCTACATGAGCATGCCTGCTTCTGGTCTAGATGCTGCTTGGGCCGGGGATTTGGCTCAGTGGTTTCGCTGCCTGCTGTGCAAGCGCAAGGACCCGAGTTCCATCCCCGGTACCAAAAAAAAGAAAGAAAGAAAGAAAGAAAGAAATGTCCTAGACGCTGCTTGGCATTCTTGTCGATCGCCTTGACCTGCTTTGGGGGCCTTTCCACCTTCCACACACGAGGCAGCCTAAAGCATCTTTTTCTTTTGCTTTCTGTTGTACTGGAGTTTGAACCCAGTGCCTCACACACAGTAGGCACTCTACCACTGAGCTACAGCCCTAGCCCCCTTTCCTTTTTTCTAAAGCACCTCTGTGCTCAAAAGCTTCCAACCCTGCCATCGCCCCCATAAATAACTCTGGATTTCTCTGTGAAACCTAAAGCCTGGCCTTCAGGTTCTCTCTTGCCAGTACCAATTCTTCCTCTTGGTGCCGTCTTCAGCTTTTGTCACTCACTGGACAGTGATCATGGATCTCTTGATCCCACCAAGCCAAGCCAAACAGCTTGGTGCTCCTTAGGCTTCCCTGCCCATGGAGCCTTGCCTATGCAGTTCTTTCCAAAGGGAATCACTGTCATCTCCTTACAGGAACCCGAGGGCTTGTTTCCCCAGCGCCTGGACAGACAGCACTGTCGCATGTGGCTCTGTGGCATGGCTGTCGGTAGACGTGGCTCTCAGCAGTCCCAGCCTCCCAGCATTAGGTCAACCTGCACAAACCACAGCCCCAAGGGCCCTGCAATTCAGTCCAATTCCACACATGTTGGCAAAGGCACTGCTTACAATAAGAATTAGCATTTACTCAAGGAGCTTTCATCCCAGCATGGCACAGATTGGGAACCACATTAATAATGATAAATCGCTGCCATTTATTGACTATGACGGCTGAACCTATATATTATCTGATTTAATCCTTACAACAATCTGCAATATAAGTATTTTTTCTCCATTTATAAGAAAACCACAACCCTATAGTTTGTAAAGTTAGGCAATTCACCCAAGGCTGCACTTAGCTAAGAAGTGGCTAAGCCAGCACTCTAACCCTAGTTTATCTGAGGCCAAGACTCATGCTCTTTCCATTACATCATGTTACTCCTGGGGAAGGTAAATCTGTGGTCCCAAATACCAAGGCATCCCAAAATTCATTTAGGTAAAAAAATAAATGACTTAAGGCTGCTCTCTCCTCTGTCACCAGTAGTCACTGAGAAATGGTGAGCTGGAATGGTGTGCCTAGGCCTCAGAGGATCCCATGTGACCCTCCAGCAAGAAGAGAGGTGTCTGCTATGTACACTACCAACTGGGACCCAGTTTGCACTGTCTGGGTAAGAGGGGCTCCTCTGCAAGGGTCATGCCTCCCAGTGAGCAGAGGGATTCTCTGCTCAGGGCTTGTGGGCCAAGAGCTGCCTGGTTTGCATCCAACAGACACAAATTCAGACAGAGAGCCAACACCTCTCCTCCCACAGAAAGCGCTTTTCTTCTTGTCAAAATGGGAGGAGGGGCCTGCTGACCCCAGCTTGCTGTTCCCTTTGGCCACCCAGAACTGCTTCTGATCCTCCCACCCCTGTGCCTCACCCCGTCTTTGGGAGTCCTGACAGAGTATCCTCAAGTGACATCTTACCTCAGTCCCAGGAGCCTCCTGCTGCTCCTGGGGAAGGTGTGTGTCAGGGCTAGCAGCAGAGACATGCATCTGTGAACACGCATGTGTGCCCTTGGTGGGTGTGTGTGGGTCTCTGTGCCCACAGAGTTATGGGGATGAAGCATCTTTCTTGATCTTTCTGTGACACCAAGCCCTGGGCTGCTGTGTGCAAGGCCCCACCCCTGGCCCTGGCCAGGAAGAGGCCATGGCAGTGGCCAAAGAGGCTCTTGGGAGCCTGAAATAATTGCATTTGCAGCCTCCATCCATTGCCCCACACAGGGCAGGAGCACTTGAAAGCTCTGTCAACAACAAAGGATGCTATCCAGCTGGGTGGCCACCTGGGAGGTGACGGAACAGCCACATTTGTGAGGACTCACGTCTTCTTCAACCCAAGTAAAGTGCAACCCTATGAGGCTGGGCAGGCCTTCCCGGCATGGCCACAGCCCCGCAGCACGGAGGGGGTGCAGCTGACGGCCTCCTTCCTGAGGCAGGCAGAGTGTGATGACCCGGGGGCCAGGAAGCGCACTGAGGGAGGAAGAAGAGTGTGTGCCTACCTGGGGCAGGGAGCCCGCCGCCGTGAGCTGGAGTTTCTGCTGGAACAGGGCACTCAGCATCTGGTTCTGCCGTTCCAGGTCAAACACTCTCTTTTTCAGCTTGATGCACTCTTCCCGCAGGTCCTGTGCCGTCCCCCGGGAGGTGAGGAAGAGAAGGGGAGGAGGGCAGGGAGAGGGAGAGGGAAATGAGCACAGGGATGGCACGTTTTCTGTTTGCTGCACGGTTTACTTCCTCGGTGGGGTCCTCAGGAAGGGCCTTCCTGACTGTACCCAGGGCCTCTCCCCAGGGTGGCTGGGTTTAGGGTGACAGCGTCTCCTGTGGCCACTCACCTTCTGGTTCAGCAGTGCCTGCACCACGTGGTTGGCAACCTGGGGACAGAAAGTCAAAGGCTAAGCTGACAAGCAATGTCCCCCTCCCCTCCCTTGTGCAGTCCTGCTACAGACCCCACAGACCTCGTCCAGACAGCGCTCGTAAGTCTCCCTCTGGTTCTCATTGGCCTGGGCAAGTGCCGAGTTCTCTGCCTGCGGGGGTGAAGGAGGATGAGGGTAAGAGGAAGGCTTTGGGACCATTCTTCCTCCAGGGCAAATTCCTTCTGGGGAAGAGGAGGCAAGGAGTCTATTCACTACAGCCCGTCAGAGGCCATCTGCAGACAGGGACCAAGGGCAGTCCGAGTGCAGAGCTGAGATGAACAGGTTTCCTATAAACCTCAACCTCAGGCAGTGAGGCTGGGGGCTGGAGAGACACAGTGGCCGGGAGGACACCAATGGGAGGCACCAAAAAGCACCTTTATTTTTTTCCTTGGGCACAGGAAGCTGGAGAGAAGACAGTCTTTTTTTCTTTAAGTGTTTTTTGGGTTTTTTTTTTTTTTTTTTTTTTAGTTTTTTGAGACAGGGTCTCACTGTGTAGTCCAGGCTGGCTTCAAACTCATGGCAATCATCCTGCCTCAGCCTCCCAAGTGCTGAGATTACAGGTAGGTGCCACCACACCTGGCTGAGGACAGGGTCTTAAGAATGTGGCAAAGGGCTTTTGTTTGACAATCCCTGCCTTGTCCTTCAATGCCTGGGCCCTAGGTCATCTAACCCCTTCCTCCTGTGGCCTCTGTTACCACCTCTTCCCTAGAGTCAGTAAGAGCATGAAGGGGAGAAGAGAGCTATTTAGGGTTAGGACAGCATACCCTGTGCATGCTTCTTGTCCTCAGTCTAGAGGGCTAAGAGCAAGCAGAAGGCTTCCTGGAAGAGCTGTGCTAAAGGAATGCTCAGTCTCCTCCTAGCCGAGGGGCTGGGAGGATGGCCCACCCCCACCCAAAGCCCTGCGTCCTGCCACACACACCTCCAGCTCCCGCAGTCGATGCAGAAGCTCCTGGCAGCTCCCAGGCTCCATGCTGCCATCAGCACCTTCTCCCGGCACTGGGTATCCAGGACCCCCAGGTGTCTGGTCCATGGCCTCTGCCATCAGGTCCTGGGACTGAAAGAGAGAAGTCCCAACAGGCTACGCCAGGGCAGAGGAGGAGAGAGGACAGAGACGAGGCTCTTCAGTGTGCTCAGAGTTTAGACTGGTGTGATCATGGGCCACGGACACTGTAACACTCAGGGCTGGACTCAGTCTCTGGCTCACTCTTCCCATGGTGGGAACAGAGCCTGTTCATTTATAAACCCCCACATTTGCACACGCCCTGTCACAGGGCAGCTAGACCCTGAACTCTGCAGGGGTCAGCCTGAAATTGGCCAGCAAATCACCCTCCCTGTGCTGCAGTGGCCCCAACTTTTTTTTTGTTTGGTACCAGGGATCTAACTCCCCAACTTTTTTTTCAAAGTGCAACATTTTTATTTTACAATTACATTTTTGTATAGGGTTTTATATAGAAAACATTTATATTTTCTCTGACTAGGACATGCCTTTTCATCTTTACAGGTAAGAAAAGACTACATGCAAACAGAAGGTAGTCATAATATCCTATTCTGTCTGAATCCGCTCCACTGGGTGTCTAGGGAAAATAATCTTTAGGAAAAGTGTACATAGTCATAAAATGGAGAGTGTTAAAGGCAGTAAAAATGGTATGGTACAAATGATTACTCAGTTTTTAAAAAACATCATGATATACCTTGTTTAGAGAGAAGTATGTTTGGTTGCTAAGTGCAACTTGCAAGACATATCTACACCTGTATTATTATTATTATTATTAATTTTTTGGGGGGGTACCAGGGACCAAACTTGGGACTTTGCGCTTGTGAGGCAGGTGGTGGAACCACTGAGTTAAATACCTGGCCCTATACTTGTATTATTATGTACGCAAGAACATATGTATCTGTGTTCTTGAGGTGACCAGACTAGAAATACATGAAAAACTATTATTTTTTTTTTTAATTTAAAACTTTTTTTAGTACATGTTTGCACTGTCCCCATTTACGAAATAACGCCAGTATCTCCTAGTCTCATTCAGTGCTGGCAAACAAAAATTAGATCTGTAAAAGGGATTTGAAAACAAAAACCAAAAAAACAAACCCTCCTGTAATCCCAGCATTCTGGGAGGCTGGGGAAGGAAGACTGCAAATTCAAGCTCAGCCTGGGCAACTTAGTAACTTAGTGAGACACTGAATCAAAAAAAGAGAAAAGTCTGCAGATGTAGCTCAGCACAAAGGCCCTGGGTTCAATCCCCAGCACTGCAAAGCAAAACAAAACACCCTATTCAAAAACACATGACCGTGATTCCTACTAGTAACAATAATAGCGATCTAAGGTAGCAAGATGACTAGGATTTTGTCCTGAAGGTCAGTGGTCCCTTGCCTGGGGCAGGCATGCGTAAGGCAATGGCCCGCAGACAAATCCTAGCTTCAGAGCCAAAAGGCTCTCACTGGCTCTGCAGGGGGAGCTGGGAAACACGTGAAAGCTTGCTTAGCTTGTTCACTCACTTGGTCAACTAACTGACTGCTGGCTTCCCAATTCTGAAAATGGACCTTCTTTCCTGACAGGTCACTGTGAGTCACACGTGAACACCTGTGGGCAACACCCTGAGAAGTAGGCTGCAGAGTGTCACTGTGACGCTGCAAAGGCACAGGGCCCACCCCAGTGCTGGCTCTCATTTCACTTGCCCCTCTCCCTGGCTCTTATCTCCTCCTCCCACACTGGACAGTGGGCTGTGTCCTGTGTGCTTCCAACACTCCCCTCTTCTAGCTTCAGCTGTCCTAGACACCCGGACGGGTGCGGGACGGGGGGCACACCACCATCGAGGTCCCTGCGTGCCAGCCTTCTTGTTCACACTGGCCTCTCTTCAGGGGCCACTGGCACCACCCTCCCTTCCTGTTCACTCCTCAGGGCCCACACTCCAGCTCTCCTGCAGTTCTGTAATGGTCTCCTCCATCAGGCTGCCCACCCCCAAGGACAGGGACATTGTACTCATTTCCCTGTGCAGACCCACACTCTTGGTGTATTCCTGGCATGTAGGAGCCAGACCAATGAGAAAGTGACTAGTCTGTCACTGATCACATAGACACAGTGGGGTCCTCACTGCATTGCGCTTGCCATCCTTCTGCCCCACCAGATGCGTGCCATTGTTACTTTCTGCAACTGATATGTCTTTATCTTCTATTTGAGTTCCCACTTCTCTGCTAGAGCAAAGTGGTCACTTCCTTCTGTACAAATACTGCAGAGGTTTCCAGCAAAAGGGAAACCCTTATTGTAAAAGGCTGGACAACCCACGCACCCCTGACTACTCCACTGCCTCTTCCTTGCCCCCCTGAAGCCTCAACAAAGTGGCTTAGAGCTTTAGGACCACACAGGGGGGACCTGGCAGCTCATCTCTGGTACCTGAACCATGCTCCTGTTCTCCACAGTAGGGCCCAAGGATGCCTCTCCCACGCACCCCCTCTCTCTGTCATCAGCATGCACAAACCGTAGAGCCCCTCACCTGTCTCAGTCCCCTACTCAGACTGGGATGCTCACTCTAGCAGCCGGAATGGTCACCTTGCCTGTGGAGAAACAGGGAGATGATGTCAGCCATGTACTCCTCAAGCATCTGTTCTGCTTCTGCTGTGTGCCAGGCGCTGGGCATGGGGAAGGACAAGCCCCAAAGCCCTGCCTTTATGAAGCTGCCACTTTCCTGGCTGAGGGCAGATGATAAACAACACTGGGCATGACAAGGCACTGAGAGATGGCGACCAGGCAGAGAGCAAAGAGAAGTCTAGGTGAGATCCAGGTAGGAAGAGCACTCAGGGCAGAGGAAAGAGCCATTATACAGGTGAGTCTAACGGTCACACTTGGTGCTTCACCGCCTTCCAAACACATGCTGCCTTCTTGAACCCTCATGACCACAGAGGGAGGGAAATGCTATAATCCAGTCCTATGTTTCAGATGAGGAAACTGGGGAACAGGAAGTCACGCTGGCATATACTTAGTGTATTCTGTGTGCTGCATAGGGCTGGAACTTTCTTCTGCATCACTGGACCTGATTCTCCTAATGACTTGGGAGGAGGGCACTGGCCTAAAGAGGAAGCAGGCTCTGGAGGCAAAGGCTATTGCCCAAATCATACAGCTGGTGCACACTGGACACTGGACAGACATCCTAGTTGAAATGGGGTGTAGCTCAGTGGTACAGTGCTTGCCTAGCATGTGCAAAGTCCTGGGTTTGATCTCCAGCATCATAACAAAACACAACACAACAAAACAATAAATAACCTATGAAGACAAACAACAAGCAAAACAACAAGAACAACAGCAACAAAAGTGCCCCCAAATAATCAAGGTGCACCATCAGCTCCATGGAACAACTAACACGTAAGCATCACACAGACCCAGGGCCCCAGTAGACAGAACCTGGTGTACAGATTCCTAGAGCTTTGGAGTTAATGAATCTGACTTAAAATCCTGACTCTAGAGAACATCTCTCTCTCTCTCTTTTTTTTTTTGTTATCAAGGATTGAACTCGGGTCCTTGCGCTTTCGAGGCAGGCGGTGGACCCACTGAGCTAAATCCCCAGCCTGAGAATCTCTCTTTTTTCTGCTTGTAAAATAGGGTAAGAATACTTGGTCCAAAGGGTAAGTGGAGGACGAAATGAGAGAGTAGACTCAGAGTCATCCCTCAGGTGCTGCTGGCCTGGCCTTGCCCCCGGAGGCCTCCTGTACCTCCCCTAGTGCCTGTGCTGTCTTTACCTGAGAAAGGAATCGGCTGGAGGCTTTGAGGCCAGAGTCACAGGCAAAGAGGAGAAAACTTTTTCTTCTGAGTGTGTGTGTGTGTGTGTGTGTGTGTGTACCACAGTGGGAAAGGGGCTTCTGAAAACACAGAAAAGAAAAAACTGTGTGATACTTATTTTTAACACTCCACAACAATCTAAAATCCTTTGTTCTTTTGTTTTTCTTTTTTTTTTTGAGCTAGGTCTTGCTATGTAGTTCAGGCTGGCCCTGAACTCCTGGCAATCTTCCTGACTCACCCTCCTGAGAGCTAGGATTTCAGGTGTGTGTCATTACACCCATCCTTTTTTTTTTTTTTTTTGGTACCAGGGATTGAACTTGGGACCTTGTGCTTGTGAGGCAGGCAGCGGCACCACTGAGCTAAATTCCTGGCCCACTACACCCATCTTAAAATCTTTGATTTTTTTTTTTTTTTTGGAGACAGGGTCTTGCTATGTAGTCCAGGTTGGCCCCTAAAGTGGCGATCCTCCTGCTTCAGCCTCCCAAGTGCTGGGATTACAGTATGCGTGACCACGCCACCATGCTTCTATGCCCAGCAATCCTTTGTTGTTTTAACAGCATTACAAATGTATTGAGTATAACTTAGTTTGTTCATGACGCTATCATGTTTGATATATTTAGAAATGTATAGGCCTGGAATAAAAGGAAAAGAAATTGAAGAAATATTCTCCTTTCCAGACACAAACAGGAGTTAAGTTAATAAAAGGCCTTAGGTTACCTCCACCATCTGACTAGTTTCACCCTAACGCCTCAACTCTGGTCCCTACACAGCTCCCTCCTGCTCCAGCTGGAACTCCCATGGTCCCAGGAGAGGCCTGGCCCCAGTGATCAGTAGCTTTCCCCCCAGCCTTGCACCATTATTTCTCCAGGGCCTGGTGTGTGCATGTGTGCACTGTGAAGGGTGAGAAAGCTGGGAAGGCTAAGGAAGGCTAAGGAAGGGAACAGGATAAATAGGGCAGTGTCTAGGATCCAGAGAAGGATAAAGCGAAAGCTAGGGTTTTGTGTTCTTCATGCAAAGACAAAATGTAAGCAAAGGATGAAGGTGGTTTAGTACAGTATCTTCTCTAAAACAATTTAAAAAACACCCCAGGTCAGGAGCGAGGCCATACTATGAGGACTGGCTATGGACTTTGTGCATGTGCATGCTGTTTTACATCCTAAGGAGGTCGGAGACACAAGCCAACCACTGCCACCCTCCAAATCTGAACCCCTACAGACTGCAGAGCAGGGCAGCCAGGTCCTGCTGTGATCTGTGGGAGACCCTCCTGAGGGTGACATCAATGTCAGGCACAGCTCTGTAAGCCGCAGCTGGAGCCGAGCAGAGGCTCCGGAAATGCTGGATGAAGGAAGGCTGTGACTCAGCCCCCTGTGGAAGAACCCTTTTTGCCTTTGTGCCATACTCTGGGCCTACTCAGGACGGAGGGCCTTCTCCATGTCTGCAGGGCTCCCATAAGCAGAGGCAGGAGGCTGCAGCCTAGACCAGTGAGGAGTCACCAAAGACAGACTCAAATTTAAACCTTGTACTGGGAGGAGTGCACTTCTATGAGCGGGATTCAGAGTCTGAGTTTCAGATTTCTAATAAAACCCATGGACAGCTGCATAAACCTGTAATCCTAGCTAAGCAGGAGGCTGAGGCAGGAGGATGGTGAGTTTGTGACCAGCCAGGGCAAATTAGAGACTCCAAGAGACAGAAAGGGAGGAAGGAAAGATGGAAGGAAGGAGGGACAGAGGGAAGAAAGGAAGGAAGGAAGGAAGAAAACGAAAGAAAGAAAGAAAGTAAGTTTTTCAAAGAAACTTGTGTTTTTACCCTCTTCCAGGGAATACCAGGATGCAGAGACACGAAATGACCTCTAGCTCTAAACCAGAGCCTAACCAGGAACTTGGCCCTTGGAAATCTGGGTCTTTTGTCTATATCTTGGGAGAAAGGGCCAGCCTAAGTCAGTTTTCCTGTGGTTGTCCATGTCAGTGTTCCCCTGGGAACAAATCACCCCCTCCTCCCTCAGGATCCATGACCTAGCATGCACAGCTCTGCGCTCACCCCTACCCGGAGCGGAGTCTGGGAGACCCTGACAAGTCTGTCAGGATGGCCCTGCTTTCAAACCTTCCTCCATGTAGTCCCACGATGCACCCAGGATGTGGGTCTGGAACACATGATGAGTCCAGGCTGCAAGGGTTGGGAAGTCAAACTTGAGCTGGGAGCTTTTCCTGCCAAAACTTCAAGTAGGAGGCCCCTCCCTACACACAGAGGCCTGATTCAGAGGGAGACTTCAGAGCTGAGGGTAGAGAGGCAAGGGGAGGGAGGAAGATAGAGTGCTCTTGGGCTGCTCTCTTTAGAGGGCGGGGTGGGGTGGGAGAGGTGTTGGGTGTTGGGCAGCTAGGGACAGGGAAAGGAAAACTGCTGCTCAGGAGTCTCTGGGTGTTAACCTGGGGACATTGCCAAGTGGATCTGGGTGACTGCTATCTCTGGCTTAGTCACATAGGGCCCTGCTTCATTCCTTGCCCCCTTTTTGGTGTATTGGGGATTTGCCCCTGAGCTACACCCCCAGCCCCAGCCCTGCCTCCCCCTTTAAAGCCAGGAAGAGACAGGAACATTTAGGGCCTCAAAAGAGATCTGGCCATTCTGGCCTTTAAGTCAGTGGAAGAAAGGACAGATCCTGCAGTTGCCAACCCCCTCCACCCAGGGCACAGACAAAGCCCCTCCTTGAACTCAGAGTCCAGCCTGGGAGCAGCGGCCACAGAGGTGGCAAAGAGCCTGGTCTTAAGCCCTGGTGCCCCAGCCCCCCATCAAGGCCTTCTGGTCTGAGGAACCCCTCACTCCCCAGCTGTCCCCTCCAGAATTCTCCAGGGAGAGTGGCAGGGGCCAGAGGGAGGGATGGGCAGCTGCAAGAGGTGGACATGGGGAAGTGCACCGGAATAACAGAGTCACCCTAACATCAACTGGTCCCCTCTGCGCTCCTCCCAGCTGTCTCCTGGAATCCCTTTCATGGTCCCAGCCAGTCACACCCAAGAGTCCACTTGTAAACAGCAACCTCTTGCCCACATCGCACAGCCCCTTCCCAGCCAGGACAACTCTGTGCTGCCGTGGGGTGGGGGGTGAGGTGAGGACTGAGGACTGGCTCTCAGGGCACTCCGATCAGAGTGGTCACTTAATCCCTGGTTAAAGCGTCTTTCAGCCCTAGGAATTCCAACTGGTCTCCTTCCCAATAGGGAAAGGGGGTACACAGGAATTCCCTTCTCTCCTCCTGACAACTGGCACCCAAGGAGATGTAGCAGCCATCCTGAGGCATCCGTCCTGGGAGAAGGTGCCACTGTATCCCCTGCAACAAGCCCTTCGCAGGCACTCCCAGAACCTCCACACCATGGGGTAGAGGCTTCAGAATGAACTGGAACAGAATCAGGCCCTGCCCTTCCAGGCGGGGCAGGAGGAAGGGCAGTGCAGTGATCAACCCAAAGGCTCCCAGATTTCAACCTTCCTCACCCCTGCTCCCTCCAGGCCTCCTCTTCCCTGTCTGCAGCACAAGCGACAACAAAAATAGCAGTTACTGTGGGTAGGGGCCAGGGATTCAGACACAATGGGTTTATTTATAGGACCACACACCAGGGGCTCTGCAACTAGCAGCCTAGGCCTCACTCCCAAAAGGCCAGTCCATCCTAGACCAGCCAAGGGAATGGGACAAGCTTCAGGCCAGAAGCCACAGTCCCAGCCTCAGGCCAGAAGCCACAGTCCCATCTTGGAGTGTAGCCTAACGCTGCAATGTACTTACTTGCTATGTGACTTCAGG